CCTAAGAGCAATGGCCTCCAGCTTAATAGCGATGGCCTCCAGCCTAAGAGCGATGGCCTCCAGCTTAATAGCTATGGCTTCCAACCTAAGAGCGATGGCCTCCAGCCTAATAGCGATGGCCTCCAGCCTAATAGCGATGGCCTCCAGCCTAATAGCGATGCCCTCCAGCCTGATAGCGATGGCCTCCAGCCTAATAGCAATGGCCTCCAGCCTAATAGCGATGGCCTCCAACCTAAGAGCAACGGCCTCCAGCTTAATAGCGATGGCCTCCAACCTAAGAGCGATGGCCTCCAACCTAAGAGCGATGGCCTCCAACCTAAGAGCGATGGCATCCAACCTAAGAGCGATGGCATCCAACCTAAGAGCAATGGCATCCAACCTAAGAGCGATGGCCTCCGACCTAAGAGCGATGGCCTCCAACCTAAGAGCGATGGCCTCCAGCCTAATAATAGATCATCAAAATGGATCAGAGGATCTGAGTGGGCACTTTGGACTGTCAAAGGACATGACGAGTGCCTCACCCAGGTACTGGAGTAACTGTGCGCGGCGGCACTCATGCCGGTTGCAACCTTGGCAAAAGCACGATGTCTAGACTGATGTAGGTATCGTTGTCGAGCGTGTGCTTTCGTTTAAGCTTCTTTTACTGCCAACGAACCACTTTGTGACATGTCATAGATTCATGCACAACTTCCCTCCCCGCTGACTGTCCACTTTAACTCAGCCAAAGCAGCAGTAAAAGAACGAGGCCTGGCAGCGCATCAAGCTCCTCTCAGCTTTGAATGAAGAAAGCTGACCAAAGTGAGGAAATCGATCTAAGAAATAGAAGGTTGCCCTTGATCCTCGAGACTTTCTCGTACGCTCGAAACACAATTCACACACCGGCCTAGGAATCAAAACCAATCCCAATCCTGAGAGTATATGTCCGGAGCAATCCATCAATCTATATTCTTTTGCACTGCCCATGGCGTTCGCCTCCTCAGCGAAGGAGCGATCTCTTGGTAGAACAAGGCCTGGTACACAGTGATGACTACAAGCTGAACCCATGTGGATTGCCGGTTTACCACGGTTGGAACCGCACATCTGCAGTCATACAATGCTGCAGTTCCTTCCTAAGCGACAAGTTGGTAGTCAAATCGCACTTGCAACGTATCATGTCATTGCTTCAAGTCAAGAGAAGTCAAGCCGAAGCTCTCACAGTTTGACCAGAATTGCATCCCCAACTCCAACCCCACCTGCTCGCGGTTGCGTCGGTCTGTCTGGCACGGAGGCTGAAAGGCGGACGAAAACGGACGAGTGTTGTGGATTTTCTCCGACGAAAACGGACCTGCAGGTGTTGGTTTGTTCACTTCTTCACGCTTTTGCTTCTAAGCCACAATTCGAGCAGCTTTCATACCTCGCTTTCTGAAACCTGTCATTGTTAAAAAAGAGTGCTGCCAGTAGTTGCCGGAGTCCGCGTAGAATGGATTTTCTTCCAGCCCATGTAGGGGGTTCAACTCATGCACGCGTTTCAAGTGAACACAAGTTCTGGGCAGGCAGAACAGCCTGAAAGAGTTGTACAGTAGCTGTCTCCTGGCCTTGGTGTACAGCAAAATGCAAGAGCCTGGCTTTCCATCCCGGCCTGCTCGTCCAGACTCCTGTCGATGCAAAACACTGGTTGGCATGCGTTGAAAGACTCTTCAAGGCTGCACCAAAAAAAATCAAAGATGTTGATGGGGATCGTGACTCGTTCAATCTCTTTCTAACCGCTCTCAACATCCTCCACTAGAGTGAACCAACCTGAATGTCATAGTGTTGAATCTCTAATGTCCTGCATGTAAGCTTCAAGGCTGTTGGGCATAAAGTAGTGTACCACCCGACCTGCAAACAGCTGGACATGGAGCGATGCGAGTTCCACCGTGCCAACGCTGCCGACACGGTGCATGTGTTCCGTCCTTTTGCGAGCTCATGTTTGGACGCTGAAGTAGCTTTTGATGCTACTGACGGTTCAAAAACCAAACAAAAAACACAAGGACCGCGACTTGGGGCTCCCACGAACATCTGGCTTGTCAATGCCCATGCCGAAGGCGACGGTGGCCGCTACTGCCTCCGATGTGCGTAGCTGATCAACAGGTGGAGTATGCCACGCGCATTCTGCTTTATCATCCTCTGGGCAAAAGCTCCAAATGGGTCTGTATTTTTTTAAGGTTCCCGGGCCGAGATGTTTGACTATGGGGTATGCTTCGGAGGTATGCTTCGGGGGTATGCTTCGGGGTATGCTTCGCGCAGTGTGAAGACTAAAGTAGTAGCATTTCCAGAGGGTATGCTTCAGGGTATGCTTTGGGGTATGCTTCGCCTAAGTCGAACATCCCAGTCCTACATAAACTGGACACCTTAAAGAAAGACAAGCCCAAATATGTATATATTATATATATGTTAATCACCATTTGTGTCATTGAAGAGGTCGCTCAAGGCCTGAATCTTGTTCTGATTGAAGGCATCCTGGCAGCAGTTGGCTCATAAATCCATGCTGCTGCCAGTTGACTCACGGCTGGTCATTGATCCAATATGATACAACTGATACAACACAAGAAAACAAGCGAAAGATCCCACATCCTTCAACCACCAAGAAGAAACGAAACTGTCCAGCGCGCCTGTATGGCCCAACGCTCTGCTGGTGGCTTCTCAGAATGAAAAACAGCAGCAGAAACGCCGCCTGGATCTGAAAGATTCTTGTGGACTTTAGGCATCTTGTGGGGCATTTTTAGGCTCTAGACAGCTGGACTCCTGAAGCAAGCTTTGATGGAACATCAACGGCACGAGATACTAATTCTCAAAATGCCTGTGGAGTAAAGACAGGGCTTCAGCATTCCCAAGACTGCCCGCACACCGGCTACTAGCAACAAGGACGCTATTAGGTGGAGGCCATCGCAAGTAGGTTGGAGGCCCTCGCTATTTAGAACAAGAAGCTATAGGTGGAGGCCATCGCTATTAGGTTGGAGGCCATCACTATTAGGAACAAGAAGCTACTAGGTGGAGGCCATCGCTATTAGGTTGGAGGCCATCGCTATTAGGAACAAGAAGCTGTCTAGTACCACAAAGAGAAAAGACATGAAGAAGGGAGGAGACGAAAGCCAGGGCAAGCAACCCACCCACTCATCCAACTAGGCATCCATTGACCATCTACACTCTACACTGATCTACCTAACAATCTCTCGATAGAGACATCCTTTTATCCCTATCTCTCTGTCTCGGTATCTCTCTGAGCTAGCCAATCGACCTGCCTACAAGTATACTAAAAATGCAAGTAATGCAATGCATTAAACTTATGCATCGTCGACATCACTGAGTTGAAATTATTTGACACTCTTTGCAATCCTTTTTGCCCACACTATCTGGCCGGCCCAATATTATGAACCTCTGCCCGCCCCCCGCACCCCCCTTATTCCTCACTTCGTTCGCTAAACAATGCTTTCGATATTTTGGGGAGCACTTGTAGCTTGTTGCCATACATCAACAACGAACATTAGCAAATCCTTATATGAGGGATGGAAAATATTCCCGTTGAGTTATCACATGGGCCTTCCTTACCTCGTTCTCCAATCTCGCATCGTTTTTGGGGTGTAATGTCGTTCTCCATTCCTGTATCTGTTTTGTGCAATGTATACAGTACCCATCTCGTTCTCGAGAGGTGTTCCTACCTCGTTTCACCAGCTAAACATTTCATTAACTAAACCATTTCAAACAAATGGCGCAATTGATGCCAATCTCGTTCTCGGGGTGTTCCTACCTCGTTTCGCTAACTAAATCTGACGTTGGGCTATAGAAAAGGAACGCCCCTTCCACTTATCTTGACTACCGCAAATAAAAGCCGTTGCTCATATAATTGAACACAAATACTCAGCCTCTTTTCCAGTATGGACCGCAAGGATACACCAGACAAGAACACCTTGCACACGCTCCACATTCCTGTGGACAACTTTGCAATATACTTTCCGATGTGCTTGATTAACTTGCCAAGAAAGACTAGTGGCGCTAGTGGCTGACTCTGTACCCAGCACAACCGGGAACGTGGCAGCAGCTGCAGCGATCTGTTTTCCTCACGGCCGCATCAAGTTGAGGGTTTTGCCACCTCGTGCGCAAGATTGTGATGTCACCTGTGCAAGACCAGTGAGCACCAGTAAATCAAAGCACCTCAGAGCGATGCAGTCATAGCCGTTCATAAATATTCGATATGCATAACAAACATAATGTTATAGAATTTAAAACAGGAAAACACGATTGAACTTAATTGCTGGAACAGCCAAGAAAGGTACGCTCCCCGACTGGAGTCGCCGCAAATGCCGTCGCGAGCTCCTCTGTGCGATCGTGCAGCTGCTCGCGTCAGAAACCTCCAAGCAAGCGCTCACTGCTGGAGCGCCCCCATCGGGATCTGACCTCGGAAGAAGCGGTCATGACCATTTCAGGTCATGACCATTTTGGTGACCGTTTTGGTCGTTTGTCATGTCAACTTGTTGAGCGGTCAAACAGCGGTGGAGCAAGTGCATCACTACTGGTAACAAGGGCATGGCTATTAGTAACAAGAAGCTTCCAGTAACAAGGTGGAGTAACAACTGGAAGACGCGACATCGTGGTTTGCCCCTATCACTGCGACAGGAGCTTCCGACCTGACTCACCAACAAAACAAACCACACCAGGAGCCAATCTGGACAGGAATGGGGAATTGCTCTCTGCCACGATGCTTGGAGCAGCGCAGAAAACAAAAAAGGCACGCTGACCAGGAATGCCACACCCAACCTCGGTCAAGGCAGGATGGGCAGGGATGCATGTGGTGCTTTGCTTGCAAAGTGCTGCTTATCAGCCGTGTGGTCGGGCACCTCCTGTTACACTTGTTGGCCATGTCTTCCTCCCTGCATGGCACAACATGTCCTCCAAGAACCGACAAGGAACCCAAGGTTCAGCTCTTGACCCAGCGGCTTGACCTAGGCCAGCTCAATGGGGCTAGAAACTGTTTAAAAGAAGATCTCAGTGAACAGTTTTGCTGGAATGGGGTCTGCAAACAAAAGCTCCAGCTTCTTGAATAGTTTGCCTACCCTCTACCCTCCCTACCCCATTCGTATTTGTGCTGTGCACCATTCCAAACTGACTTGCAACAGTCTTCTCGCATCCAAAGGCACAGTTCCTGTGGCTTCTACTAAACGAGCTGGTCTCGGAGCATCCGCTCGGAGCATCCGTTCTGCAGCGCAAGGGTTGGACTTGCAAAGCTCCAGGGCTTGATCAAAGAATTGGGCCTCATACCTGACATGTTCTGTTCTTTGGTTGTTTTTTTTGGCCCGGGGTGGTTAGGCCGTAGAGACTAGGCTAGTAGAAGCATGTAGAAGCTAGGTAGCTACTAGTTACTAGCTACTTGAGCTGCTACCCAGGACGCAGGATAGCTTCAAGGAAGCTCTCGCCGCCCTAAAGGCGGCGGGGGAGCTTCCTTGAAGAGGCGCTCGCACTAATGATTCGGTTCGTAGATATTTTTATGCGGGAAACAACATAAGCATGAAAAAGGAAGGTGAGTAAGGGCTCCATTAATAAGGCCCAATTCCACGGGCCCTTATTATTAAAGAGTTCTTCTCTTCTTTTGAATCTTCATTTCAGCTTGACCACAATGCCAGGTCACTTCATCGCCGTATTATAATGCGCCTGAGCCCTTTGGCGCAACTCCTCTCTCGTGCTGGAAGCATACCGCCTGGGATCGCGTCGTGATTGCAACCAGCACCCGAAGCAACCAGAAGTGTGTTGAGTGTTGACTAATGTACATTGATATTCTGTGCATTCTTGCCTTTCACACGATTAATATTTGCTGGAGGCCCCCCCCGCTTTTGAACATTAGCCTTTCAAAACATCAATGTACATTAGCCTTTCAAAGTTTGCATTACACAAGAGGTCCACCGTTCAAAATGCGACAGTGGAATTTGCTGCATGTGTTTAGATCATCTTGGCTTGCCCAAACAGGACGGAGGTCGAACAGGACGGAGGTCGATTTTCCGGTTCTGCTTCGCACGACCCACGGCTGCGACTTGGAGACAAAACAGCTCCCCACAATCGAAGTGAATGAAAGACTCAAATCAGGTTTCCCTCTGTTGACTCACTCTCCTGCCAAGCAAGGTAGCCAGTATTGTTGCGTCTATGATGCTTTCCAGTGACATTGCGGACCGAGGTACTCAAGGAAGCTTTCCATTTTCAAGGTGTCTCTGTGCACTAAAGGATCAGCATACCTTGGCTGAGCAACTCATCACATCTCCAAAAGACTGGAAGCCTGTGTGCGCATCTGCCAGTCTCTACTGTAATCTGGTTGGCTTCTTCGGCAGCCTCTTTTTTGCTTTCCAAAACAGTACTTCCGGCTGATGTTAATGGTGGAAGACAAATGATGATAGATAGTCACTTTGCCACAACCCTCTTGCCTCACGTCAATTGGATTGAAACGCTCGTAGAACCCATATGCAGTGTTAGCTGAGTCAACGACTGAAAAACTGTCGCAGCTATTTGCAATTCCATAATATAGCTTCAATAGTGCAAGCCAGATACTGCATGATGAACTTTTTGTATGGATTCTCATCAGAGATATGCTCAGTTCTGGCAATGGTCGAGAAAAGCCAGTCGTAGAGTCTTTGACATGGTAGCACAGCCGAATAGGCCAAAAGCATCTCTTCACTCCAGGCAGCTTCCAGTAGGAAAGATGTGTAAGCAACAGTCGTGGCCTCAGCTCCAAAGCCTGGAATCCAGGGCTTGTTTGCTGTTCCTTGAAGACTGGTCATGGATATGACACTGGCCTAGATCTTGTCACAAAACCTTCACAGGTTGACACACACAAGGGATGGAGATATAGAGAAGTAGTATCACTTGGTGCTTTTTGCGTAACAACAGTCAGCAAATCGCAGTTTTTGTGAGCTTTGCTGCCAGCATGTACTAGATGTGGCAATGGGGCGGCCCCGAACAAACCAATCAATGACTACAGTCATTTCTACACCCTGGTGATATTTACTGACAAAGAAACGCCAGTTTACGGAGGAGTTCCGCACAGGTCTCTGCATTTTTCGTCAAGTTTCTGATGCCTCATCATCGAAGGTCTTTCCGTCCAATGCATTGTTGGCATCTCGCCCATGCTCATGAAGAAAACCTACCTGAAAGGCAAAGCTGTACCTGGTCTAATCACAAAATCTTGCCATACTACAAGCGTGCAACTTGGTGCAACACTGTTGGGGCCAATTGAAGTGTTGGTTGGGTTGATGTCATGTAGCCTTTTGTCAGAGTTATCAGGGTTGAGGCGGCTTTTGCAAAAATAAGTATAAATATATCCCTAGGGCTCCAAGTACCTCCTTAGAAAAGTACCTCCTTAGAAGGTATTTGGATCCTCTAAACCAACCCCAAACACCTTCTAAGAAGGCCCTTGGAGTCCTAGGGTACATATATATATATTATATAACTAAAGTTTTGCCACTTCCAAAATTGATCATGGCAACAAGCAAGAACAAACGCATTATGTGTTCAATGGCTATCGTCTTCTTGGATTCTTGGACTAATTTGTCATATTTGATTGTGCTATGACGTGCTGGCTATGAGATTTGCTTTTCAAGTGTCTGATTTGTTCAGTAGCCATGCCAGCTCGTCAGTTCGGTCGGCTTTGGCACCCATCACACCAAAGGCCCGCGCATATTTGCTGAGATAGAGATTGTCTTGATGCCTTGGTCACGGCACGAAGCCCCTTCCAATCTTCCATGTGAGAACCGGTCCGGACACTGGTTGCCCTGGAGTTTTCTTGCGTCACGTACCGAAAGAACCTGCATGATGATGCAGCCAACAAAGAACACGCAAGCCCAAATAGTCGTTCACGCGCAAGCGTGTGTATTGAATCATGCACGCCTAGCTTGCCAAGTTGGGCCAAGGAGCAAATAGTAGTTGAACGCAACTTCGGACAATGTGCCATTCACCATCTGCCGGACAAAGTTGCCATGCAAGCTGCGATTGGCATAGACCAAGGCGTTCTCGAACAACTCATCACCAAAGCTGGCCTCCCAATGGAATGATCTGGTCTTGCAAGAATGTGTTGAAACAAGAACTCGTTACCCATAGCCCATAGCCATAGCTGAAACACTTCGCTTTCTTCAAAAAAAGAAAACACGCACGGCCTCAGCACAGCCGAAAAGCAAGAAGACCTAAGGCTCTAAGGTCGGCCACCATGAGATGGGTAGACTCCGGGTCTCAATGCAAATGACCGTTTTGGCACAGGTGGGTGTGTATTTTTATAGGGGGGGCCCGTTGCCCAATGGATTTTGGTCTATTTCTCTTCTTCCAGGAGGTGTTTGGGAGGTCTCCCAATTTTACTACACACCGCACCCAGGTAATCGGAGCTTCTACGGTGGGCTTGTGGGAGAAGTCCAAGTTCGGACGCAAGCGCCAGGGGGGTTCCCTCCAACGAAGGCCCGCATCGCCACATCGCCCCAGGACTTGGCTGAGACAAGTGGCAGAAGCGGCCCGCAAAGGCGGCACCATGAGCACAAGCAAAGCGCAAGGGCAAAAGGCCTTGTATACCCAGTAAGAAACATCTTTCAGGCATACTAGTACCTGCCAAAAAACCTTTGCCAAAGCCTTTGAGCGGTTTGGTGTCTTGCAGTCTTGCAAGTTTGGGCAGTGTCAAGCTGCAAAGCCAAGAAGAGTCTCGGCCAAATCAAAATTGTTCCCTGCAAAGTGCAGATTTGCCACGTTTGGGTGATGCCGCTCAGCCTCCACGGCCGATCACCATCCACCGCACGCGACGAAAGAAACTCCCATGCCTCGCTGCAGCTGCTGCGCGACGTGATCTGCATCACGTTTCCTGCGACGTTGGGAACCAACAAGTGTCGCTTTCAATCTGCCCATCCACAGGTCCTTTGGGATCCTTTGAGCACCTAGGAACAAGAAGCGACTAGTAGCAAAGGGCATTTCTACTAGGAGCAAGGACGCTACTAGTAGCTCCTGGCCTTACTACTAGGAACAAGAAGCTACTAGGGGCTTATGGCATCGCTACTAGGAGCAAGGACGCTATCTGCTCATCCACATGTCCTCTGGGATCCTTTGAGCGCCTTCTTCTCTTCTCTTTCTTTTTAGCCCGTGGGGGGATAGGCCGCTAGGAATCGCTAGGAGAGAGAGAGGTAGCTACTAGCTGTAAGCTACTACCTAGGACCTTGAAGAAGCGCTCGCGCTAATGATTTGGTTATTTGGTTCCTGGATTTTTAGAAGAACCTAAGTTTCCTTTGAGCACCTCAGCTTACAGACTTGAACTTTAATTCGTTCCTTCGTTTTCCTGCCCAAATCTCCCATTTAGCCTGATGCAGTAAATGATCGTGGGTGAGTATGGGCTCACTGATGCGGTGTCCACTGGCCTGAACAGGCGAGGCAGGAAAAGGGGACCCGGCGACCCAGAGCGCTGTCCAAACAGAAAGGAGGAGCTGAGTCATGCTGAGTCTTCCGTCAGTCAACTAACCTCCCTCAAGGAGGGTAAGAGTACGACCAAACTAGCAATACGCCGCCACACTCCCGCAGGGGGTTCACTTTTGGAATGAGAGTAAGTTTTTGCCGGTCTCTTGTATCATTCTTTGAACCAACTCTGCTCACAGAAATACCTGAAATACCTTCTAACCACACAAGCATCATCCATTGGAGCTTACATTGTGGATCTGAAATACATTGACAGGTTCAGTTTCTTGCTCATCTGCACACCCCACCAGCCTAGCCCTTCGCTCTGCCACTGCTGCCTCTGTCTGCCCCTAGCTCGACCAGGTCAAAGGCCACTTGGCGGTTCACTACACTTCCAGGTTTTGACCACAGCTTCGAACGTGACCTTCTACGAAACTTGAAGCAGAAAAGACTTGAAGCTGCTGGCAAAAAAGAACTGGGATCGGATGGGGACCCGTTTCGTAGCCAATGAACACAGATTTTTGAACAACACACAATTGAAAGGAAAAGGTCGAAATCATGCAACCGCATCAACATCTCGTTTTGGGATCAACCCATTTTAATGCTACTTTTCTCGGCCGGCTCGGCCTTCGCAACCAGTCCCATGCCTGCCTTTCCGGTCCAAAAGTCAAGGAAAAACAAACAAAAAAGACACAAGTCCACTGCGAAAGGACCAAAAGAAAACATGTCAACGATATGTTTGGGATGTCCACCGGTCCAGTCCAAAACCCTGTACCCGTTTGTCGCCTCCGCGGCGAAGAGCTCACGCACACGTCGAAGCATTCCGGCCTCAGGCCGAACTCGTACTGGATACACCCACTGTGGCAGCCACTTGAGCCCAAATCCGTATCTTTTTGAGGAAAAGATAGGAAAAGTAGCTATATACTAGGGGCTCCTAGCATCGCTACGAACGGAGCGATCGGACGCTACGAACGGGGCTCCTGGCCTTACTACTAGGAGCAAGAAGCTATTAGTAACAAAGCAGGAAGCATGGTCTGTAGCTGGTCAGACCGGGTCAAAGAACTCCCGACCGTTTATGAGCATTTGATGAGCATCTGAACATGTATTGAACATCTGGCATGTGTCTTCCTTCCAGTCCTCGTTCTGCAGCTCCTCCACAGAATAGTGCAGGTTCCTTGCAAACAGTTTTAAAGTTCTACACATCACCAGGCAAACTGCCTGATTTCCGCCTCAGGCAAATCAACTTAAACAGCAAGAACCTTATAAAGGATCCACATAGAGGCGTGTTGCAAAGCATCTTTGTCCCTGTCTTGGCTTAAATCGCAGGTGGTTTGTATATACTTACAGAATTTGGACTAAGAATAGTCAATGCCAACAGTTTTGGAGACTTGAGCTGACAATTCTTCAATTCTTCGGCCAGCTCGGCATAGTCAGCTGTTTTTTCTTCCCGATTCATCGCGTATCCCATCGACTCCGCCGAGCGTCGGTCGATTCATGGAACCGATGATGTGTTCAGCACCGTTGAGCGCCAAAGACCTGTGAAGAGCGCCCATTGAGCGATGGCTAAAGACCTGGTTCATTCTTCGACAAAAGCACTTGGATCAGATCACCCGAACTTGCCTAAATTTTTCCTAGAATATCGAATGGACATCTGACTGAAGGCTTTTGGACTTCCCATCTGCACATGCTTTCTGAGTCCTCAAATTCGCTTCAAAAATGACCCCAAGCCTCACGACATCATCTCGCACCTCACTCTTGCAGGTAGCAGTGAGCCTTGGAGGGGTACCAAAGGGGTACCAAGCGGCCAAAGCCAATGGTTTGGTCAGGGCAAAAATAGGACAAAACCCTGATTGCATGAGACTGAATGGTCTCCAAATTATACTTTGGACTGGCTTGACTGAACCAGCACCTGCTTTTCCGATCAAAGAGAACAAAGGTTCAATGTAATTGAACCAGCTCACAGCAAATGTATCCCCCTGCCAATTAGGGTGGTGGGGTCGGGGCCCCCATTCTGTAGTACAACAGAACTGGGGACCCAACATCACAAATTTCCATGTACTATATATTTTGCAAGGACCCAACCCTGCTTCTCTACAAAATGCTTGGACCCAACATAGATAGTATCATATAAGAAACAGGAAATCTGCACTACAAAAGTGGTGGGACCCAGCCTCTATGTTGTCAATGTGTTTGACTACAGACAAAATGGTATGAACCCGATTTTGCGTCACCAGAATGGCTGCAGAAATTTGCACTACATTATGGACGTACCCAACATCAGATATAATCATCTTGAAATGACAAATCTGCACTACAAAATTGCAGGGACCCATCCTCTATATCTCAGCATCAAGGCCTTGCGCTACAAAATCCTCATCTCTACAAAAAGATATGCCTCAACCTCTTTTTTTGGCAACATATTAAAAACCTCAACGTAGTGGACTTGAGACACCCCATTTCATACAGGAAATCGGGGATACAATGCAAATGTGCCTTTATTCTCTGTTTGATGTGTTTTTTTTCTCTCTCTCTCTCTCTCGCTCTATTGCAAACAAGTTCTATGAAATTCTAGGGAATTTTGAGGATTCCCTCACCATCAAACGTCGAGCCAAGCTACGCGAGAACTGGTGGAGTCCTTCCCGAACGGCCGGTGCCATCCAAAGCGGCTATGACCAGGCTTAGCTGATTGTACTCGGCCTGGCACTTGCAAACAACACCCACAGACCTACGGGAAGAAACTTAATCACAAACTCGACATCCCGAACCTTACCCCCAGGGAGGGGAAGGAGGTTTAAAAGGTAACTGTTTTTTTGGAGCGTAATAAATGCAGGTCTTGGAAAATGGATGAAAAGGGTGAAATTGATCTTGAGTTCTTGTTAGATTTGCCTTGCCCTTTGCCGTGTGAACTCGGGGTAGCTCCAAGGCCGTCCATCCAAGCTTTGCCCCATGTGTTGAAGGTCAAGGAATGGAAAAGACTGAAAGGTCCTCAAACCACTTTGAAGACTTTGGAAGAAGCAAGGGCCAGTCATAGTCCAGTCCGGCTTCGGGGCTTCTTGCAGAGCCCTCCTCGTTACAAAGAGTCCAAAAAGTGATAATGGTCTTATCCAAGGCCACTGGACTCGAACCTGCGGGTCTATGGTTCTTTGTCCGTTGAGCCACATCCTCAACTAAGCCAGATAATGGAATCCGGTATATGATATGATTTACAAACGTGCGAATCCATTGGGAGGTCATGCAGTTCCGACCCTTCTCTGCCAAAAAAAAGGCTTTCTTTTTCATCGCTTACAGGAAGTTCAACTGGTGCATTCGCCATCGGCATCCGCGTGGGCACCGCTCGGGCTCTCGCAGCGGCCGCTCCGGTGACCTCGCCACGGCTGCGAGGGCACTGCTCGGTCCCAGCGAATTCTGCCAGGTCTCAATTCGCCGGACTTCCTTCAGAGCATTCCTGGACTTCATCGGAGAAAAATCCAGTCACTGTGCTACACACTGCTACCCAGAAAGTATACGTTTTCTTCTTTCAATCCCAATATGATAAAGTACTATGATAAAGTAACAAAGGTATGCTGGAAAGCTTGGTGAAGATTCTGGGCTTGGTCCAATGCCTCCGCACTTCGACTTGCACTTTGCTCTGCCCAAGCTTTTGCAGATCTTGTATGGATCATTCCAGCGATGTGAGCGGTGAAGTGTGCAGCATCTTTGGCATCTTTCACAATGTCCTGGTGGCATCTTACACAATGTCTGTGTTGCCAAAAAACGATGTTCAAACATGTCCAAAACGTCTCATAGTTCCCGAAGAAAGAAGAACACAATCAAACAAAACCATGCCTCTTACCCGATCGGCCCTGTGCTTGGCCCGATATCCTTATTTAAATAGATCAGGAGTCTTCTTGGCTTTAGCAACCATGGTACCACCAAAAGGTACAGGTACGTGTATATTATGAGAATATATACACACATACACACGTTTATAATCTGTTGACATGATGTTCATTGATTTTCCCTGGAGAACTTTGAGATGCATCAGTTGTCACATGTGCAAACATTCCGCGGTTTGCCCGAGGACCGTCCTCCAGGCATTCCTTGGGTGAAGCGAAAAGCCAGCCACAGCCGCTGAAGGGCCACCAGCCAGCTTCAGCCACTTTGGGATGGAAGCCGTCAGCCCAGTGAAACGTCATGGAGCAGCAGTCTGTGCAGGATCACGTATGATTACACTATATTACACTGATCACATAGTGAAAGTATGTGCCTTCAAGTTCCTTGCTCTTGCGTTTTGCTGTTTGGCCTGCTGAGATGTGCGATCATGTTCTCTCTTGAATTTGGCAACATGTGGACTGCTTTGTTTGAATAGGCTTGCTAGCATTTGCCAGCAGTGGCAACTGCAAAAATAGGGAACAGATGCGTGAAGCAAGGTAGCTATCTGCTAGCGCTTGCTCTTCTGCTAGTGCCCATGCCAGAACAAGAAACAGCAAATGTCAGCAAATCCGGCTTTGAGAGTCTGAATAACTTCCAGGATAATTATCTAGTATGCGTGGAAAAAATGCGCAAATGCCAAAACTGAGGCACCACTTACATATCTTATGTGTTAGCATGTGCTACAGTACATGCCAAATTGTCACAACATTTGCACTTTGCACCTTGATTGGCGATCTGATCTAAAACCGAAGCTCCAAAATGTACAAGTTTGGCCATCAAACAGGCAGGCTCTGCACGGAAGTCATGACCCCATTCCGAAACGCAGTGCGCCTAGCAGAAGCAAATTGGATCCACTTCTCAAGTGCTGCCCAGTTCTGCTGAGAGCGATTAACTCTAAAATTGCATTGACATGGATTGACCACCAGTCACCTGCATTTTAAAACAAGCACCAAAAAAGGGTGTTCTTCCATCATGCTCGGCTAGCAGCGCCAAAAGTCTCTTAGAGTCCATGACCGTCCTCTATTTAGCCTTCAAAGAGGCAAACGCGAGAGACTCCTTACTGCCCTTACTGCTAGTAGAAACGCCTTCTTTCTTACCCTCCTTGCCACCACAAGGTCACAAGGTTTCATGATATTTTCTTTACAGTACTGGTACTGCTTTCTGGTTGTGTCCCTGTCCCAAATCAGCACAGGTCGATCGGGTAGCTGAAGAGCCTCATCTATGGCAACCAAAGAGACACGCTGCAGCTGTCGAAGGGTCTGCAATTTGGCCTCCAGCCCCAGCTTCGGTGGCCAGCAAGATCTAGATGGCACACAACATTCGCACGATGACATATTATGACCATACCGGCAAGCGTCGTAGAGGTTCCAATCAGCATTATCATAAGTTACTTGCTCTGGCAGTCAAAAACGCAGAATATCGTGCCGAAAATGTCGGCTAGTCTGTTTTTCAACTTTTTTTGCATTAGAGCACTAAGTCATTGATCTGCAGCCTCACGTGCAAACACTGCAAATGCCTCTTTCACCGCACGCTCTGGGGACATGAAGACCATCAAAGCTCCGCGGTTCACTGATTCAAGCACCTGCAAGGGCAAAGGCTCTGCAGCTTGACCAACGTGTGTTTTGCAGGAAAATACGAAAGAAAACGAAGAGAAAAGATTTGTGGAGAGTTGTGATTACAAGTGCTAAAAGGTCTTGCAATGATGTCCTTTCCCACCAGAACTGTAGGATGGGGGGACCTGACCAATCACTTGTGAATGCGACCGTCTGGACTCCGACCTCATGAAAAATTGGTGATGCTAAGGTCGTCGAAAAGCTTCATCAACATCTCCCCCATCTCTTCATCTCCCCAGCATCTTCTGCCTGCGGCCAACTTGCTTCGCCGCCCTGAGGGGAGCAAACTACTGCAGGAATGCCATGCTGCCGAAGACGCTGTACCTGATGCACAGGCTCGGAGTTGGGGGTGCAAGCGCTGGGTTATCGGTTTATTGGACTGTAGATATAGGGCGATTCAGCATGATGCGAATGAATGAAGCAAACTGTGATCAAGAAACGAGGACTTGCAGGATCAGCAGCCCCGGGGAATCCCACATTACACACAGCCAAACCATCACGCAAACAACTCATTATACTCATTATACATTTGAAGTAAGAACCCCATAGCCATCGCTATCTGGGGAAGTACAAAAAAAACAATTTCAATATATTTCAAGTATGTCTGGAACTCAGAAGCTCTACTAACACTACTAGGGAATTGACACTTCGGGCATTGATTCGCAGACCAACTCAGGACTTGGCACACCATAAGCGCCCTCAGTGTACTTACACTGGTTCGGCAGTGCTCACCCTTCGCATCGCTCGCCTGGTCGTGCATCAAGGAGACCAGGGGCGAGATCACCAATGCCACAGGCGCAAAGCCTCCCAAACCACCCGTCGCCACTTTGGCTCTGCACGATTTCCTAACACAATTTGTCTCTAAACCTCTGTTAGACATCGCCACATCACTCCGTTGCAAATTCAGTTTCCGATGGCTTTAGGTCGGGCAGTTTGTTCCTGTTTCTCTCGGTGTGTTGGTGCCTTTTCTTGGCACAAACCACTTCCGCGTGCATGGTGCGAACACCATGTGTGTTCACACACTGCCACTGAACATGCCTGAACATCGGTCAAACTTGAAAAGCCACCTGAACTCGGCGCATGATTCTGGTGCCAGTGGCGCTCCACCAAGGCCGGAAGAGTGAAGCATCCACTCTTGCCTCGGCTCTGAATAAGACCAGAGACCCATAGGCCCATAAGCATTGCAAGTTTCAGAGAGGATGCAAGTGCAGTACATGGTTTGAAGGCGTTTGCAGTACATGGATCGCCTACTTGTCCATCAAGCCTGGTTGCTTCGCATCGATCAGGACAACGGTTGACAAAAGGTGGTGCTGGCAAAGCGATGGTGTATGCTTTGGCCCCCGAAGAGGAGCAAAGGGCAATCAACTTCGATACTGACAAACATTGACAAACAGTATCGAACTCTCACCATCTCTCATGTCAAGACAGTCAAGACATGCTAAAGAAGAGCTAGCCAAGTGCATTCATCTAGGAAAGCTAAGAATCAATTGGCAATCGAACCATACAATCAGTGGTCATTCTGACCAAGGACACTACTGAGTGACTGAAGCGGCTGTCTAGGCCCTTACGGTCCCTTACGGGTTGCAAGACTGTGTGTTCCCAAACCAAGGTGCCACTACCAGTGCCCGACAACACAAAGGAAGGGCGGCCAGCCGCCCAGGCTTCCAGTGCACGACGCCTGGAAAAGAAGATGCACGGCCGGGTAGCTGGGCATTCCAGGTCCAGCCGGAAAGCAATTAGGTTGGAAACACCAGTTCTCCTGTTTATAAGTTGCAAACGTGTGTTTTATCGTCGTCTGTTTCGCAGACTTTACGAGGCATGGCCAGGTCTTGTTGCTTTAAGAGAATTCCACTAAGCACTCCATTTGGCACAGCCTTGGAACTTTCGTACATAGTATAAGTCACAAGACTCAAAGGTCTGGCTGGTCAGCAGGCATCAAACTGGGCTTCGTGAATCAACGGACTGCCGGCCTATCCTCAAAATGAGAACAAAGCTAACAAAGCTTGCTTGATTTCTGGGTCCTTCCTAGTATCAACACGCAACTTTCTTCTGCATGTGATGATCGGTCACTCTGAGGCCATGACTGGAAGCTTCTCAGCCGTGGCCATCCAAAGTATTCTCGTGCCAAGGCTTCTGCCACCTGCACAGCACTATGCATCGCTTTTAGTCCACATACTTCACATGTGGCATGATTCTCAAAGTGATGGTTCCGGTTCTGCGTGTTGGGAATGTTCAGAAACTAAAGGTGTGTCCCTTGACTCTGGCCCATATGCCAAAAAGAGCACGGAAAATACAAGAAGCTACTAGGAACAAGTGCATCGCTTCTAGTAACAAGTGCCTTACTAGTAGTACGAGTAACAAGAAGCTATTAGAAACAAGAAGCTACCGGAAAGGACAGCTGTGGAGTTCCACGGCATGGAGGTCGTTTGACATGGCCACCTGCACAGCGGCCGTCTGCAACAGCTCTGTGGGATCCTCACGCAGGGGTCTCCCAATCCGGTGGTCTTCCAGGGGTCTCCCATGGTCTCCCCAATGCCTTGGCACATCATCCGAGGATGACCGTGAAACAGTAAATCTTCCTTGTCTGAATTGAAGTCAACAAAGGGGGTGATCCTGGGTGCTCAAGCCAACATAACAAGAGACTCAGCTGGCCAGCCATGTTAGCACTGTGGAAAACATCTCAAAATACAACTGAAGGCTCAGTTTTCATCTTCAAGACCAGCTCTCACTGCACCAGGCTCTACGGAAGACCTACCAAGACCTGAAGACTGTGCTCCTGAACGGGGCTGCAAAGGCTGATAGGTGTGAAGCCTGCAAGATCAGCATGCCAGGCCCGAGAAAGTTGATAGTGAGGCTGCTGCTTTCCCTCAAAGGGGTACAGGATTTGCATGCGTCTTTGCTGGTGAAAAGATATGAAAAGCGAACCTAAATGGTTTGATACTTATTTTTTTCGCAAGCATTTCTGCACGCGGCACACGGCTGTAGGCGTTCCGCGTGGAAAACTGGCACCTGAAAACCTTGCGGAAGCGCTTCCGCCGGAGAAGGAGATGCCGCTGTGAGACTTTACAAAAAGTTTTGGGCAAAGAGACAACAAAAGTTGAGATTTGGCACGATTTGACACAGTCCCGCAGGGCTTGGATTGCGAACGAGGCCGCAAGCTACTGCGGCTTCTGCGAGAAATGGGTCCGGTGCGGAATGATGCAGTTGATACTGCCCTTCCAGTTCATCCACCCATTGCTCTGCTACCCCATCTGCGGGCAGTTCCCTCGGTTCCCTCAGCCTGGTGATTCTTGGAATTTCTCCAGCTCCTTCCAGTTTCGCTCCTTCCTCCGTATCCTTCTGCTTTGTTGGTCCCTTGCTCCCTCCACTTACCAGGCTTGGCACCTGTTGGAGTTTCAGCTGGCCAGTCCCGTCGAGCGTGCTCCCATTGGGACTTTTGAAACTCTCCTGATGAGTCCCGCTTCTGCCGCTTTGATGCCGCAATTTGCCCATCTCGCCGAAGCTGATGCTGACGGGCTTCTGCTTCAGCTTCCTCAGTATTCATCAGGGAAACCGGTTGAATCATTGGCTTGGGATAGTCAAGGCCATATCTGAATTGGCCCTTCTTGTCATCTTTCTCACCTTCCATCTGAATTGGCGACCCCAGTGAGAGGGCGACGGCACGGGCCAGGTCTTCATCTTCCTGAGCCATCGGAACGGAGCGCTGGATGAAAAGCCTATATATATATACAAAAATAGAACATCATAGTCTCATAGTCATATAACAATGTTTATCCGATATGTGTTTGGCAAAAAATGAAGGCTCTTTGGATAAACTGACATGAGTTTGGCTCTACCCTTGTTGACTATTGAATTGGGGTTTGGAATTTAGCAACTTCCCAACAAACTACATCTCATGTATCATTTGTGTAGCATTCCGATTCCAAGTTTCTGAATCCACCTTGGCCTCGGATCCTTCTTTCTGTGAAAGCAGCAGTGCTGCAGCCGCATCTGGGTCTTCCCAAGTTCGATACAAGGCAATCGCTGCATCCTTCTGATCAAAACCCATGGCCAACAGCGCCTGATTGCGAATCTTCAGTTTGTGGAAAACAATTCACAGGAGTTTTCAACAATCCTTAGATCCATCACCTACTGCGTTACTACTGCACTACAGTACTGTGCCACAAAGGTTTTGCCAACTCCGGGAAGCTTGAAACAGCATGAAACAGCACCTACCCACCCACATCACCAACCGAGGAACTGAGCAGCCTTGTACACCCAAAACCTTCTGCCACTGTCGCGTCTGAGTTTCTGAACCCTTGAAAATATGTGCAATCCACCAAAAAAACAACCCCCCCCCAACTTCCAGGGTCGGGTGACGGAGGGGCCCGGCCTCCAAGGGTTGCTTCGAGACGCTGAACTGCCCCGTCGGCATGGCCCGCAGCGTCTCCGCTTCTCCACCGTCGCCGTCCTCCAGGAGGCCAAGGCGCCAGGGTTCGCGCGCCACCGTTGCAGGCAACGAGGAGAGCTCTGGAAGCCAACCTCGTTACCCACGGGCGTTTTGGTAAGCGCCCAGGAGGGCTGCGGCTTACAGAGTAAGCTGGGACACGAGTTGACCATGGAAAGGGGTCCATGGAAAGCAAGTTATAGAGTCTATAGATGGTCTCACACTCACAACATCTCACAACTCGCACATGAGCATAATGAACTCATTCCCAACACCAGAGATGTGAGAAGCATTGAAACTTGCCTGCTGTTTTAGTTGGCCGTTGGCCCGCTGGCGCACAAAAGGCTCTTTTAGCTGCCCTTCCAAGAGCAGCTTGAGACCGCCGGGGGGCGTTTGATGTAGGTCGCATCGGGATCATGCTGCGCGCCCCATTTCAGAATCTCCAAAGACCCCAAGCGCTCACCAGGTGATTTCTGGGCTGCAGGCAAACAGCGATAGCTCCAGTTGTACCAGTTCGCTGTGGGTTCATAGTCTATCCTCACTCCATGCACGTGCTTTTGATATGTTTAACATGCTGAGCTAGCGAAGTAGCCTCGCAATTGTCAGGTGCCCATGTGCCGTGTTTCTTCAAGAAAATAGTCTTATAAAGCTTTACTAATGCATACTAATGCTTTACTTTCTACAAGGATCAGGACAGACTCAAACCATTCCGCTGCCATTCTCCAATCCAGGCCCAGATCTGCAATGAGAAACCAACCAGCAGTTTCCCGTCCCATATGGTTGCAGTAGCCTGTCGTTTTGAGCTCACGCATGAAGCAGTCAATGAAGGGAAATCCAGTTTCACCCTGAATCCATGTGTTCAGCCTTTGTCGATCCGATGACCAAGACCAGTTTGGTCTTAGGTTCTGTGGGCCTCCGATCCGAAAGATGGACATTCCGGCGTAGATGCTGCCAAAACGTACGAAGTCGCGCCAAAGTAACCTTGTGTGGCGAATCGATCACCGTTTTGTTTATTTCATCACAGAAGAGACCAACTACGTACTCCAATTCTTCTGATCCAGGAGCGATCGGACGCTACGAACGGGGTTCCTGGCCGTTTCTACGAACGGAACAAGAATCCTACTAGGGGCTCCTGGCATCGCTACGAACGGAGCGATCGGACGCTACTAGTAGCAACTATACTGAGTGTATGCGAGCAACTCATGGGTGATCCAGTAGGTTGATTTGTTCTTCCTCCTTTCACGCTCATATCTCTTTACCTCCTCGTAGAGAAGGCGTGGCGAAAGGCATCCATGTGCCAACCAAGGAGATAACTTGGACATGGCCTTATCCCGCATGCAGCTTTTGGCAGGATCCATCGTCATGGTTGCACCTACATAGTCCAAGCCTAAAGAGTCCTCCTCCCACAAGTACTCCTGCACTCGTTGCAAGGCTGCAGTCTCTCCACCACGCCATTTCAGCTCCGCACGGGGGTCTTTCAAGTCTCCCGGATCCAGCTCAGAGCTATAGGTGGCACTCATCAGTTCCTGCCGGTGAGGAGCGAGTAGCGAGTAGCGAACCGGCCAACGAACAAGTCGGCACGTGTCTTAAGTCTTTGCAGCGGAAGAAAAGCGTGTGTATGAATATTCTCTACAGTATTTGTAATACAAAAATACCGTGTGCGTGTGCGTGATAATACAGTATTTGTATGATAAGGCTGTTGTAATTGACCATGGACTTTCTTATAGAACTGTCAGAACTGTGTCCTGGAGACTCGGCACACTGCGATCTCCCCGCTCCCATTGCACCGCATGCTCACTTGAGCGGAACTGGGGGTTCTCCAATTGGCTTGCTCGAACGTAGCTTCCTGTGACGGCTGCCCCCGCTCAAACCAAGAAAAGAACCAGCTTGGCAAGGTGGGAAGAGGTGGAAAAAGACTGGAAAAGGAGCATAATTAATGCAGTGAGTATGTAATACACCTAGAACTTTGGGCAAAGGGAAAAGCACCCAAAGCTCAGAAATGGAAAAACCAACAACTCTCAAGCAAACGAGTATCCCTCTTCCACGCGTTTGCGGAAGGCCGTATATGAGTTGAATGCTCCTTTTGGTCTCTTGGGGTCAAAGGTGAGGTCATCAAGGTGATAAAGTTCAAAGCCCCAGAACAGGCTCAGCGACCCTTGCCCATGCTTTCGGAGCACCTCGCGTACCTGACGCTCCACACGAAGTTCTTCACTGCAAATCTCGTGGAAGGCGAAAACAGAATTGATGAAATAGTCTTCACATAACTCTTCGAAGCATTCCTTGGTGCTAATCTTTGATCGAATATTCAGAACATGCCCGTGGGATGCCAGTCGCTGGGACAAGTCTTGGATAGCCTCTAGCTGAAAGCGGTTCCGAAGTGCACCAGTCTTTGGAAAGCCACAAAGCCGAGTCTTGCCTGCGTGCCAAAATGGATCAAACACGTACAAGTGCAGCACGGGCAACTTGCTGGCATGCGCAGCTTTCAAGGCTGCATGATCGTGAGTCCGAAGGTCTGTACATTTGAACCATACGACGTTCACCCTCTGTTTCACTGGCATTCCGCCAGCTTTAGCCGAAACAGCTTCTGGGTGGAAGGTTCTCAAACCAAAGTGAACAAACATGGAATCTCAGTGGACAACTCATGTGCCTGTCCATTTGTCTGAGTCCTGGCCTACGCGGGTATCCATCTGTGCGCAAAACCCGCATCCTGGGCAGCCAGCAACGGTGATGTTTTTTCATGTTGTTTCTAGTCAAAAACAACACAGAGTCAACCCTTGCGTTGAAAGAATGGAGAAAGGCCACTTCAGCACTGCAATTGGAACGACAACCTTGTTGCTCCCCGAGAAAAGTTGAGCTTGGTCTGTTGTGGACCCCTGCAGACGCACTGCTGCCAAGGCAGCTCTTCCAACTAGAAACAAGTTTTGAACCACAAGGGTATACGCATCCTTTGTCAATCTGCTGTCTCAAGCATCTCCTGTTGTCCAGCAAGTTTATGCAAGTTTGACAAATTCAGTTGAGAGGTGACGTCTGTGTTTGGGAGGTTGAGAAGATTGCAAGAATGTAGCTTCGCAATGCTTCGCATGCTTTGCAAAAGTTTGTTGGGTCAGCTTTGCATGCTTAGAGCATCTTAAACCCTAAGGAGCTTATGGTTTTGATTTGGATCTTTCTAAGCTCTCAGCACTGGAGGCTCCACCAGCAACATGTCCACATGATTCGATAGGAAAAGTCTGTTTGACCGCTTGTTTGGAGGTGGAATAATAAACGTGTTGCATGTCAAACCTTTGCACAAGTTGGAATAGTACATGTTGCTTCTCAGCTTGTAGATGGTCCAATTCACCCTCCTCCGCCAAGAGAGGTCTGACACATATACACTGTGCTGATGATATGTGCTCATGTGACTTTCTCTTTTGTCCGCAAAGCTTGAGCCAAGAGGAAGGATAATATCAAAGACCAACTTACCCTAGCTAGCAGCAGCCATTTTGACTGCATTGGTGCTTTTCGGAATTCACGTCACGAGTCACAAGCACAAGTTTCTCCACATTTGATGCAATGCTTAATTGCAGAATGTCTTTGCCACATCTCCTGACATCGTGCGTGATTCGGTTCATGAAGATTGCCTTTGGCATCTTGGTCTCTGAGTCTCAACGTCAAACAATCCAAAACCAGGGACTCAATGACTGGTGCCATCAAGTATCAATCACAGGAAGACCTGCCACGAAGCGCACGTCCAGACCAGACGAGTCCCGATGAGAATCCATGTGCAGAAGCATCGTGATGCAGTGCAAGGTCCCTGCGATGAACATGTGCCACCAAGTGTGCAACTGTGGATACGGAAGGCCACCTGGACAGGGGTCGCCGGTTTTGTGTTTGGCCGATCGAGAAGAAGGCTCACCAGGTGAAGCGTTCGGACTTGTTCGGACGAATGATGCAGGAAGAAACCGCGTTCCGGACGAGTTAGGACAGGCTCGTTCAGTGAAAGGACGCCGCCGGTACGCCAGGCACCTGCCGTACCCCACCTGCCCTGCTTTTGGACCCACCTGGCAGGTTCTTGAGCCTCGCACAGTGGTAGTTGTCCAGGAGCCAGCTCACCACCGAAACTGCAAACATGAGCAAAGCTGCTTGCATCATGTTCTCCTGAATGTCAAAGATGTCAATCCCACAAGAGACAAGAAAGAGGCAACGAGGGAGAGAAATTCATTGCGTACCTGCCTGACGTCCCCCTTCTGATGTTTGATGTGAAATGAAGAAACAGCATATCAGGATGCACTCAATAGTTCTTCCATGCTTCTCGGGCGCTGCCGCTTTCGCTGCACGTTTGCCCTTGTCATCGCGGCAGCTTTTGATGCGGACCGAGATCGACGATGATCCCCAGCCTAGTGAGACAAAGGGATAGGCTGCTGAGAACCAGTGGCATCATCTATGAAGCCATGGCCAAAAAGTGCCAACAGTACAATGTACAAATAGTACAGTACATATATATATATATGTGTGTGTGTGTGTCATCCAAGTGACAAAAAAAGCATCCAACCGCACGTATCAATGTCGGTAATGTTACAGTAATATACTGTATACTATATATATATACATATATATATATATATGTCTACTTATAGATCATTACAGTATTACTTATTGTAGACTGTAGAGCACCATCAACATGGTCTTCCGCATGGAGCAGGCATTGCACACAAAATGTCAAACTTGAGCACCAAACTTTATAGTGTCAAACTTGAGTTGGCGAGGTGTGAAGGGTCTGTTCAACAATTACATAGATATGAAATGTGTCCGGGTGCTGTTCAACTCATTGTCACTGTACTTATATAGTTGGCAACGGATTGAGTGACTCTTGCAAGTCTAAGTTTGCTAAATGGGAGCTTCAGGGCTGTAGGAAGGCAGCAGCTTGGGTCCAAAATATCCCGCATCACTTGATTTCAGGTTCTCACTTCACTGTGTTTACTCTGTCTACTTGTACTTGTAATGACGTGTTTCTTTGTATGTACTTGCATGAGCCAGGGCCTCGCCTATCACCACCAAGCCGGTGCAGAAAGTAACAGTCATCATGCCACGAAAACAGTCATGGAGCAGCGAATGCTGCTGAGTCACCTCAGTAATGAGTGTTCCGGCAACTCGGAGACAAATCTGCTCAGCCACTGCAATGTGATGGCTCCGAACACTATAGATGAAAAAGGATTGTATATACATGGTGGTAAAGGCACTTTTAATAAAGAACCGCATGTAAGGGGGGTGCCTTCTTAAAGGGACCCAAGTGACCCAAGCACCATCTCTCTTTCCTTTCCCTTCCAACTCGACGTGCTTGCCAACGGGTCGGTATGGACCGTCGGTGACTGTTCCGGCAAAAGCTGCGACAGGTGGCGATGATGACGATGCTTAAAACCGCTGCCCAGCCATAGGCCAATGGATAAGCATGAACAGCTTTTAAACGCTTCAAGCAGCTGCACGCCACTGCAGAAACGTACCTGAATAGGGAAAACGGCCAGAAGCTACAGTACCGACATGATAATAACACACAAACGCTTCAAGGTGAAAAATCCTTGAAACATAAAACCTCTTCTCAGAAAGGGAGTCTGCGGACTCCGGGTTTTTTAGTTCCTGGTTTGGTGTTTTCCCTTCACGGTGTAAACATGAAACTGGGAACCGAAAACACCCAACCCCAGCGTGGTGCAGCGTGGTGCAGCAAGTCTGTCACCACCAAGGCACCAGAGCATGGGGAGCTCGTCTGCCAACTGCATGGGATACCTCGAACTGGCGGACGAAAAGGACAGACAGCTCCATACCAGTCATCATTCTAAGCTATAGCCCAATACCACCCTTTTTTGCTTGGCAACTCATGTTTGCATTATGTTGGGATGCCTGTCACTGTCGCAATAACTTCAGTTCACTTCTGTAACTTCGGGCGTCCTCCACGGACGGACCACCGGTGGACATCCACAAGTACAACACGGGCGGCCACGGCACCGCAAGGTGGCATGAAAAAGCATACTGCCGATTGCAATTGCTACTTCCATCCAAGCGATGACACAAACATCTGCCGTCGCCTGGCAAGCGAATCAAAGATAAGAAAATCACATGAGGTGACAGAGCCTCTGAAATGGCTTTTGGAGCCCCTTGATTTGGTACACAAACCAAAGTGAATGACACGGTTCAAGCAAGACATAGTTCTTCGCTGATAGGCCTCGTGCATTGCTAAGAATAGAAGTGGCAGCAAGATCATGGGAAGGCAGGAGGCAGTGTTCACAGGTTCCGCAATCCACTCTGACAGCTGGTAGTCCTGCAGCTGACTGAGCTTATTAAAACCATGCATTCAGTGACATGAGTGATATTCAGTGAACTCGTATGCTACGACACTACTACTCTCTCAAATCAATCAAATTGGGGGTTCCCAGTCATGCGCAAAGCCCAACAGCTACACAAGGTTTTGGATTTGGGGGAGAAGAAAGAGGCTTGACTGCGTACAATCCCTAATTTCCTCCGCGAACACCTTTATCCTCAGCCCCCAGCCCTTTTGTTCCTGTCTGACAAGAAACTACATGAAATGTACCAAAATAGATTTTCAGATTCACCCAAAAACCCTGCAAATTGTCTCGGATACTGTCTTCACAAAATGCCCAGGATCTCAATCACTCGTCCTCTTCGCACCAATTGAACTCAGCATCTGGCGGGCCCCAAACACCCAGCGTGGTGTTGCTTTCCTTCTTGCGGATGTCGTCAGGGATCCTCGCGCCACAAACAACAGACTTGCCAATGGCCGATCTCGTTCATGTGCAACTTAACTTGCCTTTATTTGGAAAAAAAAACACCATCAACTTGGGCTGATGTCTCAGAGGCGTCTACAGCGCGTACGAGTCCAATTTGATCCGAGCGTCTGGAAAAAGTAGCAGCTTGAGGTAAAGCACATCAGAGCAGCCAAAAGAACACCAACAAGCCATGGTGGCATGGCCACAAGGATCCGGAAAGAGAAAGATTCTTTCCCTCTTTGAAGCAAACGCGCTGCGCTGGAAACCTAGAAGAAACGGTCGCAGGCCACCGCACTCAGTGAAACCCTGTTAAAAGCAAGCTCCGGCACAGCCGCTGGGCGGAAGATTCTAAAAGGAAAACGAGGGCGGAAGTGTCAGTTCCGGCCTTTTCGTGTGACCGGGTGAGTGCGTTTAGATGCCATGAGATCAAGGCGTTTCTTGATGCCACCAGTGATGCCTGTGGAAGATGTAAAGTTGGGGGTGCACGAGCATCTTTGATGGTGCTGAATTGCAGCATGCAGAAGAGCAAGGAGGTGTCATGTAGTGTCTACCATGGTGCGAAGTGCACACGGTGATGCGGCGATGTAGTGACCACGGTATTTTGCCAAAATTTGACATCGCTGCTCATTGGTGTGGTGCCAGGAACGGCGATGGTGAAGCGGCACGACGCATTTGGCTCGTGGTTGTGGGTGGTGTGTGATGTGGTGACATCTCTCGCGGTGAAGTGTGGTGGCTTTTGATGCGGTGAAGCGAAGTCAGATTGATGTGATATCATGTGGTCAAGTGTCGCGCAGGCGAAGTGCAATGCAGTGATGCGGTCAGGTATAGTTTGTTCTGTAATGCGCGGTCAAGTGGTGTGGTGAACGGTGATGTGACCGGCCTTCACAAACATCAGGAAGGTGCCATTCCATGTTTGCTTCTAATGGTACAGTAACAGTATGCGTTTCTAAGATCTTTCTGCAGAAGAGCACTCTAGACATCTATGCTGTGCCTACTCTTCTGGACCAATTTGCCCCTTTGGCTGTGCCACTATGTCATTTTTTTCTTTAGGCGGTTTAAGATACTTTTCTCCAGAATTACAATTTCATATCATGTCATTCCAGCAATGGGTTCTTGATCCTCGGATTCTGTTCGACATGCGCCTATGATCATTCCTCCAAGGTCGTTCCCCAACTGCTTCACCCTTGCACAGCCCTGACAGTGTATTGAAGTTATCCACTTCCATTGCACCACGAAGCTGCCCTCATGCCGCCCCTCATTGATCTTTCCTTCCCACGAAAAGGCGCGCGCGGATTTTCACCCGTGTGTCTAAAAGGCACGCGTGACTCTCATTCTTCGACTTGAGGTAACTCCGAACTTTCTCATCGATGCTCCCTTTGATTCAGCCTTTGATGTAATTAAATATAGGTGGGGTCCTAGTGATGATTCATGCCTGCATGCGATCACAAGCCCAGTAGCGTGGAAGATGGAATTGAAGGTTATATAACTCCATTTATAATGTGTGTGATCTGCACGGCCACAGCCAAGCATCTCAGTGCAAGAACAACAAAACATGTACAAAACATGCACTTCACATTGCAGTAAACTTGCAGTGCTGCTTCAACTACATTCAACTACCAGGACCAGTAAAACACGTTCGACCCCAAACACCAATGTTCGATGTGACCGAGGCAAGGGACTCAGTCGGGACCGGATCAAGAGACCCGGCTACCCACAACACAGGAGTGCCCTTTAACAAGGTAATTTCAAAACGCCAAGTGGATCCGGTTGACAACCCGTGAAGCAACCAATAAAGCAACCACTGTACTTATGAGGTTCATCCATGCTGAATCAGCCCTTTTTCTCTGTTGCTCAACTTCTGAGCTGCTGCAAACGCCGCAGCTGCGGGGCTTCAAAGTCCAAGCGCAAGAAGGACGCCTAACAGAATTGGCAAGCTGCGAGGTTTGCTGGTGCAAATCCGTCCAACAGAAAATGTTTCCCACGTGGGTGCTCTCGTGATGCTGGTGATGCTTAAACTATGGACAAGCATATCCAGCAGCAGCAGGAGCAGCAGCAGTTTGTGAGTTGAGCAGCATTGGACATCATTGTGAAGCAAGTCATTACTGTGTAAAACGTTGTCACGAAGTGATCAAATACAAATAGTTGGAGATTCAGCTTGCGCAATTTCTTAGCAACACAGTTTCTTCGAATTCAATGCAAGATGATGCAAATGTATTTTTGTATGCCGCCCAACCTGCAAGGCGGCAACCTCAGCATCAGAGAGTCCCATTGAGGGCAAGAAACGCTGCAGCTCCATGAGCAAGGTTTGGTGCCTTGGTCACATCGCTCGAAAACTCGAGGGACGAGCAAGCTGAGTGTTAGCACGCACTGTGAGCCCATGGGAGGGAAACTCCCCGCCTACGGCAAGTGTGGATGGGCCGCCTCGTATCCTAGAAGTTGGGGTAAATGGTAAACCTCTTTCAATGTGTTCAATCATGTTCAATCTGTTCCAAGCTGAAGGGTTTGGTGGATGCAGCTGCTGGTCTTTCACCACTCGACCAGGTGTTCCGATGTCTGGATTTGGGGCTCTACTCTACATGGGTGGATGCACCAGGATGCCTACTACTACTACTACGACGACGACGAGGAGGACGACGACGAGGAGGACGACGACACGAGGAGGACGACGACGAGGAGGACGACGACGAGGAGGACGACGACGAGGAGGACGA